CCGGCCCCGGCCCTTTGCCGGTCGGTGCATTGGTTCCGCCGCGGGCTGCGCCTCCACGATAATCCGGCGCTGCAGGAAGCGTTACGTGACGCCGCCTCCCTCCGTTGCATCTATATCTTGGACCCCTGGTTCGCCGCCTCTTCCGCCGTGGGCATCAACCGCTGGCGGTGAGTGGGCTGAGGAGGTTGCTGGGCCCTCAGGCCCGCGGGTAGGCCCGAGGGGGACCGGGCAGGCTTAGGGACGCGCCAGGTGTGGGCAGGAGCGACGGGACTGTTGCTGGGAAGGGAGTCGGAGCGCTTTTAGGTGCAGCGGCTGGGCCGTGTCGGTCAGGCCGCCGCCGCAGCAGCGGGAGCAGCGCACGCTGCCTCGTCCCGCCCGGTCCACGTATTGCTCCCGCCGGTGCTCTCCGGGCAGGAGAGAGCTTGCCTTCCGCGGCTGGCCTCGCCACGGCTTTCACAGCGGTGTTGCCTGACTGTGTGGGAGGGTGCCTTCAACTTTATGTAATGTCATTAGACTTTCTCCTTATAAGCTGGCCGAATGTATGACAGCAGCAACCCATGGGCGTTTCGCTTCAGGAACGCTTTTGCCTGAATTCAGAGACAAATGCAACGAACCCTCCGAGCTGCGTGACCGCACCGCGCCTTCCCTCTGCCCTTCGGCTGCCGAGGGTGCGTAGGCATGTGCGCACACCTGCCGCCTTCCCATCCCCCAAATTTTTACGGAAATACGCTTTGGCTGCTGCTAGGAAGGTAGAGAGGAAGCTGTTTGGGCTTTTCCCCTCTCTGCAAATGGGAAAATGTGTGGGGTGAGTTGTGTCTGTGCAGAGAGCGAGACCTTATGTACTGACAGCCGGTAACATTACATAATTCCGTCAGGTCTCAGCTGCCTAAACATTTGGAAACCCAGTCCGGACAGGGATTCTTCTCTGCAAGACTGCCCTGCATACAAGCGAAGCAGATCTCCCCCTGCCCTTGCACTACCCTGTCAAGGGGGTTCTGGACAGGACAGCCACCTGGCTAAAAATCCCTTAAGCGCTCTTTGAAATGTCACGTGGCTGTGTGTGTAAGGTTAGGGAAACTGTGGTTGTAACTGATTGCCTCTGCTGTCCACCTTTGCTTCATCTTAAAGGAATGGGATAGCATGGGTGGTTTCTAAGCGTTTCTAGAACCAACATCAGAGGATGGCTTAAACGTTGTAAATGTGCAGAAATGACCACAACGTAGATGTTTAAATTACAGAAAACTGTGGGTTGTGTTACTGCTTGATATCCTAGGAGCCTGAAGAGATCTTTCCATAGACCAGACTTTCTACAGGCAGCAGCAGACAGAAATGCCTTTCACGTGCTGCTGTTGTTGCTAACTGTCCTCATTTGGAAGAACGAAAGCGGTGCCCCCAAAAAGTTAATTCCTGATCCATTTAATCCTTGTTTATTTCCACCAACATTGCAGAGGGAGGGAAGCAGGTAGTGGTTTTATTTATGTTGTAGTCATGGAATATATGAGCTGGTGAAGTTTTTAAAAATAATGTTTTCTTGGAGGTGTGTAGCTACACACAGAAATTAGCACCACTGGCTGTTAGGCAAAAATGTATTAGCAAGTTACTTATATTTACCAGAGTTCCATTGGTTCCCATTGGGAACCTTGGCTTTGTTTTGCTGTTTTTGTTTTTTTTTTTTTTTTATGCAATTACTTGTATTCAGAGTTCTGTGCTCCAAAAGCAAATGTTTGTGTTTTACCTAGCTACCAGAAATTTATCATGTCGAAAATCCCGTATTGTTTTACTGCACAGCATGTGTGAGGCATATAGGACTAACCCTTGTTTAATTTTTAGAACACCTTGGAAAGCTGATATTTCTATTTAATAGATGGAAAGTGGGCTGGGGGTGGGGGAGTGGTTTGTTTAGGTTACCCAGACCTGGTTCTGGGTCTTCTGTACTGTGATACTGAGCCCTTCTTTCCATGAACCCCGAGTCCCTTTCTCCCTCAGGAAGTGCAGAAGGAGCTTGTTCTATCTCAAAGTTTGCAGTTCACATTATGGGCAGTGCAGTTGAGGAGAAAGTACCCGGTTTGCAGGGCAGTTGTAGCTTAGCTCTCCTGTTAGCTGTCTGTGGTCTCAAGGCAGCTGATGCAGATACTCATGTCTTGCAGATCACGCTGCAGAGTGAGCATGTAGGAATGAGGGAGAGGTAGAGGTTGGCAGGCTCACTTACAAAGGGTTGCGAGTTTGCCAGCAGTGCCACGTGCTGTCGCAGAGATTAAAGTTTTAAAGCTGGCGTCTTTTGCAGAGTTAGACAAAACGAAGTGACGTTATGATGTAGATGGGGTGACGTATGGCTGTGAAAGCAAAGATGATACATTTGATGTTTTGTAGCATAGTGGGGGATCAGTAAGACACACCATTGAATGCAAAGAGCACTTAAATGCTTTTTTTACAGTTTTGGGGTGGGAGGGAATAGATTAATGTCTTGGCATGCTCTCAGCTTTGCATCTTCATGGTGGAAGATAAATTGCAGTTCTGCTTGCAACTATTCTCAGTACAGATAATTCTTGCCTTGGGACATCTTGGTGCTCAGTCTCATGCTACTGATGGGCTAGGAGTGTACATTTCTGTGCTGTGACATTGCCTGTTTGTAGCCAGAACGGTAAACTTTGCACAGTTCTTGTAGTGATTCATTGCTTTCCTTGGACAAGTGTATCGACATCTTTCTACTTCATATGCAAAATCCCTCCTGCCCCAGAACCCATGAAAGAATATACTGTAGTGAATTATATATATAAATATACGCTTTTCTCCATGTCGTAATGCGGAGAGAGCAGCTGGCGGGGGGTGCTCCCAGCTCAGAGAGAACATGGAAGGGGCTTGCAGGAAGAAGAAAATCCTGGAAACCTCTTGCATCTGGACAAGCACAACATGCATGTGAATGGCTGGGAGCTGGCTCGTGCTGTGATCTCATAGCAGTTGGTAGACAGACTGGGGATGAATACAAATTCTTGTTTTCTGTTTCTTGTCCTAACTTTCAGTTTGATTTGGTGATGCAGGTTTGCTGGAGTTCCCTGCAAATTATCCTTGTTTGTCTTTTAGCTGTAACTGGACTGACTGACACTTAACTGCTGTTGTTTCTTCTCTGCAGATTTCTGCTCCAGTCTCTGGAAGATCTGGACAACAGTTTAAGGAAACTCAACTCCCGCTTGTTTGTTGTGCGAGGGCAGCCAACAGATGTCTTCCCAAGACTCTTTAAAGTAAGAGAATAAAGTCATTTTCTGGAGCATAGTGAAGAAAAACTGATGTCCCAATGCTATCCTTGTTTTCACTCACTAATGATTTGCTAGTTGTTGGAAATCCCCTCAGCTTCTCTTTAACTATAACTAATTCTTCACTATAACAAACTGTTCTCTTTAACTACAACTAACTTTAACCACTGTCCATAAGGGCCAGCTTGGGAGCCAGATACAGTCTTGAACTCAGACTTGTAAATAAATTTAGTAGTAGGGTGTAACCTAGTACCGGGGTGCTTGAGCTTTTCTTTTTGGATGGTGGCCTTTGCCTTTGTTTCTGTTAAGTCAGGTCTCACAGAGTTGCACTGTAACACGCTGACTCCTCTGTGTTGAGAGCTTCTTCCCTACTGGCCATTTTCTTCCTGCAGCTCTTACTTGAGAAGACTGCTATG